ATTCAAAAATTAAAACTAACTGAAAAAGATAGATAGCTGTGAAATGATGGAAGGATAGATTGATTGCTGTTTCTTTGTTTTTGTATCTCTTTGTCTCTGTGTGGATGTCAGTTGATAGAGAACAGTTTTTTTTTTTTTTTGCGGTGCTTTCCGTTTTAATCCTTTTCTCTTTCTATTCCTCTCCTATTCCCTCTTTTCAAAAAGTTAAAAAAAAAAACAGGCATTTTTTGAAATAAAAATAAATTTCATTAAGCCTACTTTTCTTCCATTCACTTTAATTGTGTTGACTGCTGTTGATGACACCGATAACACAATTGGCATAGTTGGTAATTTTCAAACAAAAACAAAAGACAGAAACAATTCGTATTTTTTTTTCCCTTTTTCCTTTTTTTTGGCATGCTTTTAGTTTAATAACTGTAACCAAAAAAAAAATTGCAACAAAACACACAGAAAAACAAACGCCAACATCAACAAATTTCCTTTTCACATCGTCCATAATCCGTTCAAACTTTGACAATCACCAAACACACACTCTCATCACCAATTTCATCCTGTCCATACCCCAGGGCCAGTTTGTTAAAAGAAATCCTTTTTTCTACGCTTTTTCACACAACTCCATCGCTTTTGTCATAATCATCCTCTTTTTTTTTTCTCCTATCACTAATTGAAATATGCTGTTGTTGATATATGTTTGCTTTATGCTTGTTCCAAGAAATTACTGCTGGATAGGAGGCGTTACTACTTTAACAATAAGGTATAGCAATAAAAGTAGTGTCAGTCCAGAAAAGTAAGTTGATGAAAATGCAGAAAAAGACAGACGTGGAGAATTGATGTTTCAAAAAAAAAAAAATTAGGAGATTAGTGTATAAAAAAAAAAAAGTCAAAAATGCCTATAGAATTCGTCACCTATGAGAATCTCATACACTAACTACACTGACTGTATTTGTCAGCCTTGTTCAAATATCTAATCTTTGACAGGTATTTAGAAGCCGATAAAGAACCCCTCGATTATTTCTTTCCCTTATAATTTTTCACCATTAATAAACATTGAAACCGCCACCACCACCACCACCACCACCGCCATCACCGTCATAAAAAGTGAATGTTAAGTTAGTTTATTTCAAAGATCAATTCATTAATTGCTAACAACTAACAAACAGCAATTAAAAGAAGCAAATAACTTTCTTCAATCATTTTTTTTTTCACTGCTTTCATCGTAATTTTCCCTCAGCGGTGCTGCTGCTACTTTTTTTTTCCTCCCCTTGCCAATTTCTGCTTTTTTTTTCTTTTTTTGCAGTACCAAACGCATAAAATAAGACAAAAAACCGAATTTTTATTTTTTAAAACTTTTTAGTCTTTTTGCTACTTTTTGGAAGGATGAAACAGTGAAAGAAACAATAACAAACAGAAAGCAAAAGTAAAAGCAGCAACAAAAAAATGTTTCAATTGTTTTTTTTTTGCTATAATCTAAAAACAAAAAAAAAAAGTGAAGAAGAAGGAAATCTTTTTTTCAGCAGTCTTATCCGCTCCAAAAAAATGTTCTTAGTTTTTTCTCACCTTTTCTTTATTTGGTTTTTTTTTTCCGTATTGTTGATCCAGCTTCTTGCCCAACTCTTTTTCTAGTTTTCCTTCTTTTTTT